TTCTGGCATAGCTAACCCTAACACTCTAGTTAGTGTTAGATACATGTTTACAGCATTGAATGAAGTTGGAAAAATATCTGCATATTATGAAGCTTTAACTCCACAAAATCATAATCATGATATGATAAGAGACTCTTTAACCTTGTGTGGGTTTGGTGAGGTCATCGTGTGTTGTTTTTGCTTGTCTAGTGTTTGTTATTTCTTGTAATAATTCATAAAACTTTATTTTTCCTTAGGAGAGCCGCTCCTCTTTCATGCTCCATTCTTGTGGTTTGAGAGATACTAAGACTACTTTCTCTGCAAAGGAGGTATGTGATGCAGGTCAAGCCAATCAGAGAACATATTCTCCCAGTAGACAGCCATTGGTTCAGAAATGGGTACATGACCCAATGAGAGCTCAACCCCAGATTTAATGGTGCTGTTAGAAAAGAGGTGGCCCCTTCATCCTGGGTTTGCTAAGCTGGTGGAACATGAGTCTGGATTTTCTAATGACTGTCTTTGACCCTACCTAATCAACTTTCTGTCTCTAGAAATTTGCCTGTTCCAGACACTTCATATAAACAATTTAATACGTGGATATTTTTGGATTTTTTTTCACTTAGTATAATGTTTTCAAGGTTCATTCGTGAGGTAGCAAGTACCTTGCTTTATTACTTTTTATTGTTGAATAATATTCCCCTGTACAGATATACTCCATTTAGTTTATCCATTCATCAGTTAATGGATATGGGGATACCCCTTGACCTTCAATGGATCAATAGATTCCTTTTTATGGTTAAGTGCTTTAAAATAGTAAAGAGTTACAATACAGACAGTTCAAAATCAAACATTGGAATGTGATCTGATAAGTGATGAGTGCAATTTGATGGAGACAGTTTAATAAGCTATGGGAACTTCAGAGAAAACTGCAACATCAGAAATGATGTAACATTTGTGCAACACGGCTGCATTTGTGTATTAGGCTTCAATTCATATTTGAAGTTTCATAATTATAAATCATGATGTTTCGTAACTATGCTATGATGGCTTTAATGTTTGCAACTGATGCCTTAAAAATTCTGCTCTGAGTGTCTATCGCCTGCTGATTATCCACTTCTTTCACTTTCAGTCAGTGAAGATATATATGGTCGTCTGTAAAACAAGATGCTTGTTCCTCACTCTGCCCCTCTCCTAAAGGCTCTGAAACAAGCACACAAACTTTTTCAAATTTTATCAGTGTTTTTACCGCTAAGAATTATAGGAAAACAGACAAAATGTCACCATCACTTCATCTCCAAGAGTTGGTAAAAGTAGGGGGTTGAGAATCTTTCTCTATGGACTGGGGAGAATCAGTTTCTACTCTGGCCCCTAAGTCCAATGTCCCATTGCTGAGCCAAGTATGCTTTTATCCTTATTAAAATGAATGTATCTGTGGAAGTGATTACAAGGAAATGTGTATGTCATTTATCATTTAGTGTGAAAGAATAGGAGCAGATTAAACATTTGTAATGGGTAATTTCAAATGTAAACAAAGGTAAAAAGAATTGTATAAACAATTTCTATTACTCATAATCCAACTTTTGAGCTAGCAGGCATGAGGACCAAGTGAGATCATGTATAGAAAGCCTTTAGCATAGATCCTTGAACTCAGTTAGCTTTCAGTGAGGACTTCTGCACCAGTCAATATTCACCTGAAGAAGAACCACTAACTAGAGGTTTATTATACAGATTTGACCTCTTGCAATTGTGGGGACTGGTTTCACAGTCTACGAGGCTGTTGTCTTTGTGCCTGGAGATGGAGCCCAAAATCAGCAGGATGAGCCAGAACCTGTGTGTTTATCACTGTTTGTAAACCTCCAATTTCAATGATGTGAATGACCAGCGAAAGATGGTGTTCTTTATCATGGGGATAAATGTATAGCTGAGTCAGCAGTGTGAGTTGCTAAAGTAGAACCAGATGGGAGTTAGAGGTGACGTGGGCTTCGCTGCTACCCCATACCAATAAGGTCAGCATCAGATTAAGTATGTGAGCTACAAAACAGCCTGGTACCTTACAGTGACTTACCAACATAAAAAAAAAAAATGTGTCTAGGACTTTATTTTGGCACCCAAATCTCATGAAAGATGTTTCTTGTGGCTTGGCAACCCAGAATTATGCAGGGAAAGGAGCTTAGGGACATTAGTTTCTGTTATATATACTGTGTAACAAACTGCCCCCAAATCCATAGCTTAAAACAGTAATAATCATTTCTTTAGCTCAGGAATATGCAGTTTGGGCAGGGCTCAGTGAGGACAGCTCATCTGTGTTCCATAAGGCATCAACTAGGGTGGCTCCAAAGACTAGTCAGAGGCTTGCTGGGGTCTGGAGTCATCTGAAGACTTGCTACTCCCACGTCTGGTGGTTGATGTTAGCTGTCAGCAGGAACAGCTGGCTCTCTCTTTCTCTGTGTGGTCTCTGACGTGGCAGCTGCATGGTAGGCAGACTTCTTGGTAGAAATTCAGGATTCCAAAGATATCTGATGAGAGAGAGAGAAAGTGAGAGAGAGAGGGAGGGAGGGAGAGAGAGAAAGAATATGAATGAACAATGTAGAGACAGAGATAGAGGGAGAGAGAGGAAAGAAAGGGAGGAGAGGGAGACTTTCTATTCTGGTTCTGCCATTTGTTAGCTATGTCACTTTAAGCAGGTCATTCATTCTCTCTGAACCCCAGTTCTCAAATTTTAAAAATCAGGACTTCTTTTGGGTTGCCCAGAAGAAGACTGTGAGGCAATAATTTGAGTGAAAGTAGTTTATTTGGGAGTTAATCCCAGAAGTTATCAGAAGGGAGCTGGGGAGGATACAGGGAAGGGAAGTCGGTAAAAAGTACTTAAGCAAGTTACCCTGTGGGCAACTGTAGCTAAAACCTCTGGGGAACCCTGGGGAAACACTGTAGAATCTCAGAGCTATCTTGCCCAAATGGTGGAGGAACTGGGATATTTACACATCACCTCCCATCAGTCATTGGTTAATGACTGGGTGGGGGGCATTAACTCCTCAGTACCTTTGCCCTGCTTAGTTCCATACAGGTGGGAAAAAGTCCCAGATAAAGAGATATAGGTACTGCTAGCAAAAAATAAATAAATAAAAATTGGGCAGGTTTGCACTGAAAATAGTTAAGAGCTGAAGGGATATGAACTGACAGGCTTTGCTACAGAGAATATTAGTTGTTGTTTAAGATGATTGAATACTTAAAGAGTGTATTTATTTTTATTTTTTAGAGACAGGGGAAAGGAGGAGAAATCAGTTGCCTCTCCTATGCTCGCCAACTGGGGATTTGGCCTGCAACCTAGATATGTGCCCTGACTATGAATTAAATAAGTGACCTTTTGGTTTGCAGGCCAATGCTCAATCCACTGAGCCACACCAATCAGATAAGGTGGTTGAGTATGGAAAATTAGATAATATAAAAAACATCCACTTCTGATTGGAGTTAAAGGTACAGGGAATAAGAAGCATAAATGGTAGGTACAAAATAGACAAGGGGAGGTTAATAATAGTATGAGAAGTGGAGAAGCCAAAGAACTTACAATTATGAACCATGGACATGAACAAAGGTGGGGGAAGGATGGTGGGAGGAGGTGTATACCAGAAGGGAATAGAGGGGAGAAAAAAAATGGGACAACTGTAATAGCATAATGAATAAAATATATTAGAAAAAAATCCACTCTTGGTGAGATGGCTCCTCCCCGTGTTTTGGTATCCCACAGGGCAAAATTCAAGGGAGGCCCCCAGAGGTCCTGGAGTTTTCAACATTCCTACATCACCACTGTCAGCTTCCTAAAGGGTAGTCTGAAGAAATGGCAGTAATAGACATGGATTCCCTCCCTCGCTCAGTGGACTTCACTGCCAATTCTCTTAAATTCTATCTACATCTCTAATAATCTGTCACCCTACAGGAGCTCAGAACTTCAGGTTGGTTCCTCATGACTGAGACTTATCCACCTAAGACTAGCTACCCTCGTTAATCTTAACCTAAGCTCCCACCTTTCTAGATTCCCGCCCCGCCCCCCCCCCCAATGTGTTCTGGAACTCAGGTTCTGGTGACATTGTCCAAGAAAGGTTGTAAAGCCACGTTATTATGATACTGGACTACTAAGTTCTAAGTTTGTGGTCATTTAATAGTTAACTGCGCATCCTCGAAGGTTTTGAACCAAGGTCTGACATAATCCAATTTTTGGTAAGATTTTGGTGTGCAGGATTCGAAGAGGACAGGAAAGAGGGGAAAAAAAAGAGTATGTGTTTGTGTTCTAAGCTATCACAACCCATTTTTAGGTATGTGAGATGGGAGGACCCGACTTTGCTCTGTGAGTGGAAATTAACAGACGAATGTGAAAGGAGAAAAACTTGGCGCCTCACAATAAAATAAGCAATGGCCTGGTGTCCGAAGACTGGAGTCCCAGTGAATGCTGGCACTGCCAGTTTTGCAATGTTCTTCACGTCTTTCCCCAGGTGTAAGGCGGGACTGGAAGTGTAACAGGGGGAATGAGGGGACAGTGCCAGCAATGCGCTCAGAACAGCGTCCGCAACAGGGTAAGCGCGCCAAACCCCTTTTCTCCTCTATTAAGAGAAAGGCGGGGGAGATAATACCATCCACATCCCAGTGGTTGCCTTGAGTAGGGACTAAGTAGCTGACCCGTAGCATGCACTCCCTCCCTTCGCTCCTACTCTGGGAGAAACCCCGCGCAGACTGCGGGGGCCAGCGAGCTCCCACGACTCCGCTCCCAGGTCACCCCCACCCCCCCGCACTCGTCTGGCCGCGCGCTGTTGCCGGGGTCCGGGCACCGCCCAACTGCAGCGCGGGCCAATGGCAAACAGGCCTGGGCTCCGCCCAGCTCCAGCGGACCAATGGCGACATGATGCGGGACCGCCCAGATCGAGCGACGGCCAATTGCGGCGTGGCCCGGTACGGGGCCGCCCTCACTCCGGCGGATAGGCGGGGAGGCGGTCACCGGCTCCGCCCTGCTCCCCTCTGACCCGGTGTCTCGTTTCTGCCTCTTCCTGTTCCAAACCACGTGGACGCGCGGGGGGCTGCGGGGCTGCAGGGCTGCGGGAGGGAACCCCGGTCGCCACAGCTGCTGTCGCCGCCGCTACCGAGGTTGCTATCCGGCGCGTGTCTGAAGTAGCCGCCCCCCGGGTGCCCACGCCTTGCGCAGAGCGCGCACATGGCGACTCAGACGCACTCTCTCAGCTACGCGGGCTGCAACTTCTTACGCCAGCGTCTGGTACTGTCTACTCTGAGCGGGCGCCCAGTCAAAATCCGAAAGATTCGGGCCAGAGACGACAACCCGGGCCTCCGAGGTAATGGCAGCACAGGGGTGGGCGCGGGGCCACCGGGAGACCGCTTTGATGTTACGGGGACCGGCGCGCCGAGAGTCTCGGGGTCCCTCGGGCATTTTGGGGAACACTGGTGGCGCGCCGCCCCCTAGCACGGATGCGCCCGAGGCGGTGGGGGAGGCGAGGTCGGGCCCAGAGAGTGAGCTCTGCTGCGTGCTGCGCTCCTCGTCTCCAGGGCGCCGGTAGTAAACAGCTGCACGTTTTCCAGCATTACGTGTTGTCGTAAGCCCCAAGGTTCTCCCCCTCGCTTGTCTTCAGTCTCTCTTGCTCTCTCTATAAATCTCTAAAAGGAGAAAACAGTTTGTTGGACCGAAATGTGGTGAATGGGCAGATGAAAAGATGGAGGGAGATTTGGAGAGAAAAGTACCACCAGTTGGTTCCGTGCCCTGTCCCAAAACAGGTCTCAGACGCAGCTGCCCCCTTGGATACTGGCTGTCCCTGTCGCCATGATTTCTCGGCTGTCCTCACACCTCTCCCTTGAGTGTGGATTAAAGAATCTTTAAAAATTCTGTTTGTTCTCATCCGTGACTGTGATTGATGTGCACAGGACAGCAGCTTTTAGATAAATTTTTAACAGTCATGGGCCTAATTGCCTTGACTTGAGTAAATGGTTGGTGACAAGCGCTAAAGTAGGCTTCCAAGCTCCCTTTTTGCCCTACAAAGGTAGCTGGATTAAAAGTAGGCCCCATTTGAACACACACAGATTAAATGGCTCTGATTTTCAGCTGGTCCCCTGGAGTAAGACGCATGCATTTAAAAGCTTCAGTATGATTATCCTAAATTGGGAGGCTCAGTTAAGAAAAAAAAACAAAAACCTATCGGCACATTGAAGGATACAGTTGGTGGTTGGTCCTGGAAGATTTCTAGGTCGTGTTGATGTGTTTAATTTTGCCCTGGCTCCTGTACTAGGTGGCCAGCCCATTTCATCATCTGTCTGCATTTTCTGGACAGTTACATTTCTGCCTCTCTTGAATGGTGATTGGTTGCACATTAAGGAGAAAATGCCATGTCATTGATGGAGGTACAAGGTTAGGAAAGAAAGAACCAAAGATCTCCATACCATGGGAAGGAATCTTGACAGTAGGAAAGGCTTGTGCTGGTGCGTGATTATTGCCCTTGCTGTAACTGAAATTAAGGAGGGACTGCTAGCCTGGTTTATGTCAGGTGCTCTTCCTCCTGAACATCTCTTCCCCTTATTTTGAGATTGGCCCTTGGGCAAAGCAATTGCTTGATTGGCCTACTCTGGTATTCCCAGCCAGCTTTTCCTTTTCGAGTCCCCCAGGTTAGTCTAGAGAACTCACCACTAGCTGGATATGGTAAGAAGACAGGTTTCTATTTCTATGGATACTGGGCATAGCTTGCCTTTTTTTTTTTTTTTAATAGAAGTACTATAACCTGGAGATTGGAATTTTTAATGCAAGTATAGTGCCCATAAGCTACATTTAGTGTTTGTCTCTTGACAGGTGGCTTGCAAACTAATGCTTAATGTCTCAAAGGATGCTTTCCTGCCTCCCCCTTCCACTCTTTATGAGCATCTCTTCACTGCCACGCATGCGAACAGGGCTTGGCTACTTGGCATTTTCCTGAGAGGATATCTGGGGGAGGTAGAATTGGTTGGCAGATGTGCTGATATTTTTTGAGGAACGGCATAGCATTATTTGTCTTACCTTATTAATATAGTAGGGGAAGAAAGAGGCCTCTAATTTAGATCTCTTTATGCTGGCTTGAAAACCTCAAAAATCTTATAGACATTGTTTAATTTCTTATAGAGGGAACTGAGGTTTAGGTAAACATGGTTTGCCTTCTATATCCATGGTTTTTGCATCTACAGATTCAACCAACTGTGGGTCGAAAATATTTGGGAAAAAAGATCCCAGAAAGTTTCAAAAAGCATAACTTGAATTTGCTACTCACCAAACATTATGCTGAGTCTATGTGAATGAAGTGATGTGTAGGCCTACCCTGCTGTAGCCTACATGCAAATACTGCACCATTTTATAAAAGGTACTTGAGCTTCCATAGAGTTTTGTATCCACAGAGTCCAGGAACCAATCCCGCACGACGCCAGGGATCATTGTACATGCATACATAGATATACATGGATATTTGTATATGTACATATACATAAATAAGTGTATGTGTATATATGCATATACAGATATATGTAGCCCCTGATCCATGTTATCTGGATGTAGTCAAGCAAGTCCTTGTGAGCTTGATTGACAATATAGCCAATGGGCTGTGTTACCAGTCATCTTTTCCTTTCTGGCTCTTTTGTGTACTCAGACTGTGAGAATTGGGAAAAACTCAGAGCATTTCCAATAAAATCTTCAGCTTATGTGCAGGTATTACTGTGCATCTCTCAAAAATGCTTGCTTAAAACATTGTTGCTGTGTGAGCTTTGGAGGGTGAGGGTGATGCAGTCATTCAGAAAAGGTTTATTGAGCCCCTGTATGTGCAAGGGTTTGTGGGGGTGTAAATGTGAGAAGGTGGTTGCCCTGCTCTCAAGGAATTTTTCAAGGAAGAGTTTGACAGAGTAGCTTGAGTAACTTGAAGTAGGAAGGGCTGAATGTTGTAAAGGGGCTCAGCAGAGTTAAGAGTGTGACTTCCCTGGAGGCTGTTAGGAAGGAAGGGTTTCTGGATCTGCTTCTGGCCTGGATGGACATAGAGGATTGAGATGTGGCTGCAAGAATCAAAGGGGTGAAAGAAACAGCTTTTAAGTCAAAAAGTTCTTTTTTTTTTTTTCTTTAAAAAAATCACTATGTTGAAGAAAAATCCTTAATTTGTCATAGGGGTGGGTAGTAGCTTGGTGGTTAAGAGCTTGGGTTCAGAATTAGGACCCAGTTTGGGTCCTGGTTCTACCTTTGCTATTAGCTCTTGGGCCTTCAGCAAATTCTGTAACATTTTTGAGCCTCAGTTTTGTCATCTGCAAAGTGGGGCCAGTACTACCAGCTTCATAGGGTTATTGTAAGAATTAAATAACACTTGAAAGTGCACTGAACAGTACCTGGCATGTGGTAAGTATAAATGTTAGCTAGTTTTGTTATGTATGGTTTTATCCAATGGGAATAGTTCTGCTCTTTGGCATCCGAAATCTGTTCCCCAACCTGTATGGAAACTTGAGATATTTATAGAGAATCATGACTTTCTCTTTGTTTTCTCTTTTTGGTCTAAAGGTTTCCTTTTAGGTGACAGCCTCCAAGTATTTGTGTGTTATATGTGTAATGTCATGGTTGTTTACCAGGGGCAGTTTTGCTCGCCAGGAGACATTTGGCACTGTTTGGAGACATTTTTTGTTGTCCCAGCTGGGAGGCTGCTGTTGGCATCTAGTGGGTAGAGCTCAGGGATGCCACTAAAAAGCCTAAAATGCACTGGATAGCTCCCCACACAAAAAATTATTCTGTCCAAAATATCAGTTGTGCTGATGTTGAAAAACTCTGACCTTCTGTACTTAATTATCAGCCTTTTCTTTTCTCCAGTCCCTAAAAGTTGGGAATAACAGTATGTGGTACCAAGAAAACTGTGCAGGGATTCAAAGGGGGATGAGACACAGCTCAAACTGTGACTTCTGGCAGATTGATTAATCTCTTACATAAAACTGCTTCCTTCCAATGCAGAGGGATTATAAATAATGAGAATTTTAACTGCAAAGAAATATGACCCTGGAGTGGTTTTTATTACATAGCTATGGTATAATTTTTGCTTCACTCTTAATTATGTTGTCTCATTAGGCTTTTTCTGTCAGTGAGGAGGAAGTAAATATTTTTTGGTAGTTGTTTTTCTAAAAGTGAAAAAGCCAAGATAGTTAAGTAAGATAGCTAGCGAAGTTGAGCATCCCCTGAGTCACAGGGCTGGAAAGCCTGGAGGGCCTGTTCTCCGGTCTCACTGCGTGCCGGACTTGTGTGTGAAGTGGCTGTCCAGAATACCTGTCTCCGGATTTCTCAAGGCTGTCTGTCTTGCAGGGTTCAGCTGAATTAATATTTTCTTGGTAAGGTGAGGTCTAAATGGAAAAAATTTCACCAGAATGATAATTGTTTAAAGTGAGAATACAGAAATGATGGATTTGGGCAAGAACACTGTTTTTAGTAGTTAGGACACGGGGCTGCAACACCTAAGTTCCTGGGGCAGGTCATGTGACCAAGCCTCACTGTCTTCCCCTGGGAAATTAGAGGAGGTTCTTTTTAGTCCCATTGGAGTGCTGCCCTTGGCTTAACCAGTTGAGATTCTGAAAAAGGAGGGATAAGTGGAATTTTAATCAAAAGATCCTTTAAAATATGGTGAGGAAAGATGCTACATAGCAATTCTTTGAAAGGTAAAATCATCTTTTGGTTAAACTGATATATTGTTTTATGGGTCAGTCTGGCTGTTCATAAGTTGGATCTTCTCAAAGAATTGTAGGGGAAAACTGTTTTTCTCCTTTGTTCTCAATACTTCTGACACCAGACATGTTGTGCCCCCTCCCTCCCTAAATCAGGCAGTTCTCCAGTTCTCAGAAGACACCAACTGGACATCCAGAAATTTAACTCAACTCTTACACTCTCCGTATAGTGATAGCCTCAGATCCTAAAAGTTAAGGACTCCCTCACGACTGCCTCCTACCTCAAATGCCAATCACAAGTCTTAATCCCAAGTCTGAGTCACTTGTACTTCTGACCAACCAGCTGTGAGTTGGAGAATTCTACAGCCCCCTCCCTGCTTCTGATAATTTGCTAGAATGGCACATAAAGCTTAGGGAAACATGTACTTTCATTTGGCAGTTTAATTATAAAGGACATTAAAAGGGATAGGGATGAACACCCAGGTGGAGAGTTATATAGGGTCAGGTCTGGGAGGGTCCTGAAGCAGGGTGTGCCCCTTCTCAAAACTTGGATTCCTTCTTCAACCTGCAAGTTCTCGCCTTATTCAAAAGTTTTTAAAGGGCTTAATCTCCCTGGTTGACACTTCCCACCCACCCAACCAGGTCA